GGATAGAGGCAAGACTACACTGGAATTGGGAGATGGATCAAGGAAGGGCTACCTAATTCAAATTTGAGCAACCAGAGAAATTGTTTCCAGAGAAAATGCTAAGTTGATATCCTGTAATTAATTTTCAAAACAAGATGTTGTTAATATCTAACTAGAGTGAAAAAGTCAGCTTGCCCTAGGAACATCATGCATATATTTATTAATGTCTGCAATCAACAACATGATTTTAATAAACCTTTAATACCTTATTATTATATCAAGTGACAAAAATGTCTATCCTAAACAAGCACTGTTGCCAAAAGCAATATAAATGTAAGTACAATATAATAAAGAAAATACACGTCATGGCCTCTAACTTGGAGGCATTGAAAGCCTAGCTATGGAATGAGTCCATCACCCATGAAATAAGAGTGAACAACATGAAACAGGGTCTGAACACGTGCTGGTGTGAAGGGACTATAATTACCACAGAAAACCCAAGCTCCTTTAGGGTAAGAGTTATGTCTTCCTAGTGTTACTATTCCTGACTTGAAGGTATGTATTTGAGAGCAGATAATAAGTAACATGAATCAGGGGCCATGAGAGAGGTCTGTAAACCTGATGATGCAGAAACCTGGGAGATGCCGAAAGTTTTGCCAAGGAAAGTGAAATGATGAAGGTTCTATATACAGAAGGTTGGTCTGGAATTGCTCCCCGGGATTGTCCAGGCACGGAGGGCTAAGGGAGGTGAGATCAGAAGCTTCTGAAGCCCTGGGCAAGGGCGTGTATGTGCAAAGAAGTGTGTGGCCCCCACAAACACTGAGGAGAAACTGCTCCAGAACTTGGTGACTTATAGGCAGGGTCATGTGGGAAATCAAAGATCCCAAGATAGTGTGTTCTAAGCTTAGGTAAATGTTTCTACTAACAGAAAGGGGCTCCATGGACAGGGGAAGCAGCTTGGGAAGACGCTGATGGCACTGAGACATCCTAGAGTAAATGACTAATGAGTGCTTGATGACAGAGGATAAAGTAAATGAGAGTACACAAGTATAGACCTAGGTCCCACAAGCTTGGAAGTGAAAACAAAAGCTATTAACTTTCATTATGCATTCATCCAATGTGTATTTAACGACTCTTTACCATGTTCTAGCAATCCTTATAATAGAGTAATAAACACAGCAGACAATGTCCTTGTTCTTATAGAACTAACATTCTAGAGGGACGACCAACAAATAAAAAGAAATTGTATAAGGTGCCGCATGCTTGGAAGGTCTATAGAGCAAATTAGGCAAGAGACGGATGTGGATGGAAATGGTGGCGTTTCTTGTTGGTTCATTTGTTTTGTAAAAGGGATTAGTGAAGACCTATAAACAAAATGGTGAATTGAGCTGCGATGAACATCCTAGTACAAATGTCCTTATGGTAAATGATTTTTGGTCTTTTGGGTTGACACCTCGTAGTGGGTTTGCAGGATCAAATGGAATCAACCTAACCCAAGTGCCCATCAACTCAGAATGGATTAATAAACTATGGTTTATGTATACCATGGAATGCTTTTCAGCCATAAAATGATGGAGACTTTAAATCTTTCTTATTTACCTGGATGGAGTTGAATAACATTCTTCTTAGTAAAATAACACAAAAAATGGAAAAGCAAGGAACCAACGCATGCAATTCTAATATGAAACCAATAGATAAACCACTACTTCCCCACATGAGAGGAAAACACAATTAAATTCAAGTGAGGGTGGGGAGGTAAAGGTAGCGGGAAGGAAGGAGGAGGATTTAGTGCTCTCACTAAAGGGCACACTGTAAGGGTATATGGCACACCCCTGTGCCATTCAAATAGGACGTGAGCTTCTGAACTTTACCTAACAAACATGAACACTGTAACCTAATCATTTGTACCCTGATATTAATCTGAAATAAATAACAAAGATGATATTAAAGCAGAGATGTGAAGCAAAGGAACAAATGAGCTGTAAAAATTTCCAGGCATCAAATAAATTTTTTTGTAACAGGCAGAGGGCAAGGCAGGTGGAACGGCCCAACAGGTGGAATGGCCCTGCAGCTTGGTTGGAGCACAATGAGCCAGAAGAAGAAAGAGAAAGGTGAGGTCAGAGAGATAGTTGGAACCTCTAGGGCTTAGTAAACTGCTGGATATTTTTCAGCTCTTCTCCATGGTAGACCAGAAACCAGGGAGGATTTGAATCAAGGAGTGATGTTATGGATTAAATGTCTCTGTCCTCCTAGAATTAATGGGTTAAGATAGTGAGCCCCAAGGTGATGGCATTCAAAGTGGGGCCTTTGAGAGGTAATGGGGTTGCTGAGGGTGGTTTCTCGTGAATAAGATTAGAACCTTTTCAAAGGAGTCCCCAGAAAGCCCTCTTGCTTTTTCTGCCATGTGAGAAGAAGAGAAATTGGTCTGCAGTCTGCAACCCAGGAAAGGGCCTTCTCCAGAACCCAGTCGTTCTGGAACTCTGATTGTGGACTTTCAGCCTCCAAATCTGTGAAAAATACACTTTTGTTGTTTGTAAGCCATGCTATCTGTGATACACTATTACAGCACTAAACCAACCAAGGCAAGAGACAGAATGTATTTACATTTTATCAAGATCACTGGCTGCTGTGTTGGAAATAACAGGAGGGAGAAAAGGTGAAGGCAGGAAGTCCTTTAGAGATGCTATTTCAATGAATGTGACAGACATACGGAGGAAGGGTGCTGAGACGTGAACTGGGTCTGGTGTGCTCTCAGTACAGAGCAAACAGCGTCCTTTGATCTTCAAGTTTCTGTTTTGAAAGAAGGCAGCAGTGAAAGACGACTGTGAGAGTTTAGCTGACGCACCTGAGAATGGAGGTAGAAACTTGTGAAATGGAAACCGACAGTTTGAGGAAAAATGCTACATTTGAGATATACACATCCCAAAAGTCACCCTCAAGTCACCATGCTCAGGGAAAATGGGAAGTTGTAGCCGAAAGCACCAATATTTACGAAACAGTCATTAGGAAATTTTACAAAATATTCTCTACGATTTGGCCACCTATTTGTAAAATACTGTGATGAATGTTTTGTAAATAGAGGTCCATTTAGCTATAATTTCCCATTTTCCCTATGTATGGTGACTTTAGGGGTGATTTTTGGTGCACCCATCCACTAGACATGTGAGTGAAAACACCACAGTATACAGTCCTGGGGCTTAAGGCTTGGTCCATGCTGGAAATGGGATGCTAAAAGTGGTTAGCATAACATAATATCGAAAGGCATAATCTGAATGAGATGTCCTAGGGAACATCTGTAGAGAGAAAGAGAAAAAGTGAAGAACGGAGCTCCACAGTGAAGGGGGATCAGTCAAGGAAATGGAAAAGAAGTGGCCTTTTAGTTAGTCAGATAACCATGAGAAAGTAGATTCCTGGTGGCCATATGAGAAAAGTATTTCCAAAAGAGAGCTATCAATTGAGATAAATGCTCAGAGCAGTAGATCCCGGGACAGAACTAAGAATTTACTGATGGACTTAGCAACAGGGAGGCAATTAGTGACTTGGATAAGAGGGGACTGGTTGGGATAAAAGCCTAAATGGAGATGGCTCCAGAGATAAAGGGAGGGGAGAATTAGAGAAAGCAAAGAAGGAGAAGGGATTGAGAGGCAAAGCAAAAGAAGGTAAGAAGTTGAACTTAGAAAAGAAAAAATTGGAGTGTTGAGGATAAGCCAGCCCAGAGACAACAGAGAGGGAGACGGATATGGGTAAAGTCATCCTGGAGCAGTATTCTGTAGGACCTTGGACTGGGAGCATGTTGACCAATGTGGAATATTGCAGCAAGGACAAGCTGTATGAATACGATCTCATATTTGTCAGAAACAAGGTCATTAAAAGAAAGCAGTATCATAACATGTCAGGGAGGTTGCACTTATATGTTTTTAATGCATCTCTAGGACTTCATTAGTGCTATTTACAATGTTTCAGGCATTCTTCTAGTCGTTAGGATGCAACACACACATACAGTCTCTGCTCTAGCAGACTTAGAGGGTCTACTGTCAAAGAATTAATTTTTTTCTCAAACAACAAACAAAAAGCTGTAAGTATTTGCAGTAGGCCCCCAATAATCTCTGCACCTTATTATTCATGTCATTCCCCTTTCCTTGAGTGTGGACTGAATTTAGTGACTTGTTCCTTATCAAAAGAATGTGGCAAGGTTGATGAATGTTAATTTCATAACTATGTTACAACACAATGCAACTTCCCTCTTGCTAGCAGCCTCTCTCTTGCCTTCTGAGCATGCGTGCCCTGAAGAAAAACTGTTAGGCCGGAGAAGCCCACATGGCCAGGAATTGAGAGCAGTCTTTGGCCAATAACCTGGAAAAACTGAACTCTGCCATCAAGCTCTTACAAGTGAGCTTGAAGGTAGACACTCTCTAGTCAAAACTTCAGATGTGACCCCAGTTGTTCTATTTGGCCACTTAATTGTAACTTTTTGAGAGATTCTGAGCTGGTGGATCCCATTAAGCCATACTTGAGGTAATAAATGTATGCTATTTTAAGTTGGTAAGTTTGGGGATTTTTTTTTTTTTGTAGCAGTAGATCAAGAATAATGAAATAATCACTTACCAATTGTTCCAATGGAGGAATGATATCCTTCAAGATATGCTGCGAATGATTCCTTCTGTGTCGGGATACCTGTAAATATATTGACAATATATTGACATCTAATACTATATTATTATTATTATCAGTATTATTATTATCATTATTATTATTATTATTTGAGACAGCGTCTCACTTTGTTACCCTTGGTAGAGTGCCATGGGATCATAGCTCACAGCAACCTCAAACTCTTGGGTTTAAGTGACTCTCTTGCCTCAGTCTCACAGGTATCTGGGATTATAGGTGCTTGCCACAAAGCCCAGCTATTTTTTAGAGATGAAGTCTCACTCTGGCTCAGGGTGGTCTCAAAACTGTGAGTTCGAGTACTCTGGGAGGCCGAGGCAATCCACGTGCTTTGGCACACAATATATTTCAGTAAGAGTGCCCATGAAAGTAGCCATATTCAGATTCATCCAAGGTGAATAAAGTAGATATAATATAAGAAGTAAATGTTTTGGACATTGGCTAATTTAAATAAAATATACTCGAAGATAGCTGGCTGCAAAAATATCTCAAACTTGAAGATATGCTCTTCAGAAGAGCTCATATGAGCTCGTATGCTCTTTTTACCATGTAAACTTGACAACTTTTCCATCGGGTGGTAACATTGTGTTCTTTCACTTTGAATCTGGGTAGATCTTTATGTCTGCTTCAAATAAAAAATGACTTCAAAGATGACAGTGCAAAAATAACATGCATTTCCCCGTTGCTCTTCTGGAATCCTAATTCTTGGAAAATAGTCACCATGTTTGAGAAAGCCCAGATCACCCCAGGGAACGTGTCCACACCGAGTGTCTCACACTGTTTTCTGGCAGATACCCAGCACCTGCCACCAATCACATGAGCTTATAGCAAGCGTGGGGATGGATTCCCTCTTTCAGTCTTGGAGTGTGCCACCCCATTCTCCTCTTAAAGTTTCCCTGTGGAGGCCTAGACCACTGGGGAGTAGAGACAAGCTATTCCCGCTGCACTCTGTCTGAACTTTGACCAGATTCTAAACATCATAAACATCATTGTTTCCACCTCTGTGTTTCAGGATGACATGTAATCTAGTAATAGTAAGTAGGACAAAAAAATTCATATTGGAACATTTTGGGATGTTTGTGCTTTGGAAAGAAATAAAATTTTTTTTCTCCTAAAGGAGCATCCTAAACAGCTGAAACAGAAAGAGAAGGAGGATTTTCATATTTAAACCTTGCCCTGTCTTTAACCTTGTCAGAAGCTCTCCATATTATCCAGTAGTTCACAGGGGGTGGGGAAGGAAGGAGGGAAATAGAGGGAAGGTTTGAGGACAGAGAGAGAAGAGAGAGAAGATGACTGTGAAAATTTAAAAAAAAAAAAAAAAAAGTATGCCTGAGTACTACATCTAAAGGAAAACCAGAAAAGAACTTAGAACTTTGCTGTCTTTGGCTCTGGCCACTGGCATGTGTAACTGACTGAAGGAATTAAATCAATGTCTATGAAGATTTTGAAGGAATAATGTTACCAAAAAAACACAAGACTAATGTAAAAAAAATCCATAACTCCATACAATCCTGCAACCCCGTGTTTATTCCTCAAAAACTGGCTGATTAAGGCAGTAGGAATCCAAGGTCATTCTCCTCAATGTCCCTTTCAGTGTCAACCACGTGGGATAACGGAGCCTCCAGAAAGCAGAGCCAGAAACCCTGGAGAACAGGGGACATGGGGAGTTCTCCCAGAAAGCAGAGCCAGGGACAGGGCCTGCTTCCAGGGCAGACATCTCACAGGGTCTGCCCAGCCGAATTGAATCATCGTGCTGGTCCAGTGACTGCTGGTGATTTACCATTCCTTATTTGTACAAAGGAGAGTGATTTTTGCTTGTTTGATTGTTTTATTTGCCTAGATCTTGCTGCATCCTTGTCTAGTGGATTTGGTGGGGCATGTGTGAGCGTGAGCTTATATTTCAAGTTCTAAATCATCTAAATCTTCCAGAGAGACTTGGACCTCACGGAGAGAGCTGTTTATCAGCAGAGATTCTGAAATTCAAGCTTGATACAACTAGATGGGGCTGTTAGATGTGTCCTCCTAGGAGGCAGATGGATGGATAGCTAAGAGCCATGGCTGTTAACCAGGGAGTTTCTCCCTCCACCTTCTCTTTCCTTCTACACTGCTGTGAGTAAACTTTGAACAAAGACCTATGGAAGAATGAAGATGTAATTAGAAGGACTTTGTGCCCGGATATGCTGTAGGAAGGAAGACAAATATAGGTCAGGGAAGCTCACTTTGTTTTTTAAGTAAATTTTTATTTTGGAATAATTCTAGAGAAAAGTTGCCGAGAGTTTCTGCTGAAAAACTTCTAGCTGTCATATAAGTGAAGTGTAAACTTCTATTTCGTGGAGTCATCCTGTATTTTCAAGAATTTTGTAGCTGCTATCATTACCCCAAATAAGATAACTATAGTTGATCCTCAATTAATGTCAAAATAAAAGGCAATACACATAAGGAAACTGAGAGCAGACTAGTTTGTTAAGGGGATTGATTCTGGAGACCTAAACATTATACCTGTTACCCACTGATGTTTCACCTTCTTCTCAGCAGTGTGTGGGGATATAAATATACACACAATATAGATTTCACATTTAAACCTCTTAAAAATGGGAATTAATTTTAGATTGGTATACATTTAGAAGTTACTACTCTTAATCACTACTCATTATGCTAAGATTTATAATATCGAATGAAAATTTATATATAATATAAATGTCAGATTTCAAATCTGTTGTAAATCACCTTAATATTCCTTTAGGGGAAACCATATTGCTGATCATTCCTAAATCAATAAGCTAGCCGATCTATCATGTTCAACCGAGTTATAAAGATGTTGATGGAACAAAAGCTTTCATCTCTTGTCTTTTGCTTTAATGCTCTTCTCAGTAAAGCGTTAGGCCAAGAAATATGTGATCATTCCAAATCAGATTATGCTGACTGAGACTTATGACTCGGGAAATTCTAGATTCAATATGCTAATTGCCTCACATAGTTAAAAGGAGAAGTTCAGATATTTCAGGCTGTCTTTATGTGATAGGCTTAATTGAAATAATAATTATAAAGAAAACTTGGGGTTAACAAAAATCTCATGAAGTAAGTTGAAAGAAAGAAAAGGCTTTCCAACATCATAGTACAAATAACAGATAACTTAATGGCACTTATAGAAGTATCTATCTGTAGTTTATTATTATGATCTGATAATTTTATAAATTCTTATGTGACACACACTTGCTTAAGACATTAGATGTCCTTATGAGCCATTCATTTTTTAGCCAGAAAACATTTCATATTTAGTATACTCATATGTCAGTAATTTTTAATGATAGGTGCTTGAGATGTACTTACGTGTTTATATTATAAAATATTTCTGCTTCTAATATTGCAAAAAGACTTCATTTTGAATACTCTTATTCTTTCTCAAGAATCTCAGAACTCTTAAATGTTTCTTGCATCTAAAACCTACGTTATTCTGCAATTGCTTCTAGGTAAGTTTCAGAATCCTGGCAATGGAGGGTATCCATTGTTTGATCCTTTTTACCTTTGCCAGAATTGTTAATTAATTTTTGAGTTTTCGAATACCAGGAATAATGTCATCAGTAAATTAATACATCTTTATTTTAATAATTTTTTTCTCTCAATTATGGTAGTGTTCTCATGAGGAAGCATTAAGTATTATTTTTATGTATGTATATCTTTTTGTTTCCGTAAGATTTAAATAGTATATAAATCCTTCCTCTAAACATAAGTGGACATGTATGCATACCTACTACATATTTAAGTGTTCACAGCTTAATTTATTTTGCTAGTTTTTATAAATTGCGAGATGTTGGTTTCAATGCCATATTACCATTTCCATTCAAAAATTTCATGAGTTCCTACCACTCAATTTATTTCCAATATTGTAGCAAAAAGAGGCCGTGACAATTGAAAATTTCTTGACATATTTATTAGAAATGCCACTTAAGAGTTTCATTCAACGTGGTTATATCTTAAGTGACTTTTAAAAATAACAGTATTCTGAAAAAACAAATAACAGTATTCTGTATGTTCAGCAACTGAGCCTTCCTAATAAATACTTCAATTGCTGGTAATACTTCCTTTGGGAAGAAAAAAACAGTCAAGCGTCATCTTTTTTTGCGTGTGTGTGAGTGCAATCTTTTTTTTCAATGATGCCATCTTCCTATTGAATTATCATGTCCTCTAAATAAGGAATGATTTGTAGCTACCATTGAAAAAAATTGAAATATAAATGTCTTCTGACTTGGATTCTTCTGAACCCAATATTGCTGAAAATCTGTGTTTTTCCTTCTTTGTCACCACCCACCACTCTCTCTCCTTCCACTTCTGTTCTGCCCCTCCCCAGGTATTTAGCTTTCTAATTGTGTGAAGTGGAAGAATATAGTATTCAGAATATATAACACATATTTTCCTTTAAATTCTTCTTTGTTCTTATTAGAATATGCATCATAATTAAGTTTCTCAGATATCTTTTCCTCCAAAAAGAGGAATTAAAAAGTCACTTTTTCAAAGTGTCTTCATTTCTTCTTGATTCCTTTTTCATTCCTTATCTATTTAAAGAAAATGAAACTGATGGGTGGGATTAGGACATGATATATTCCATACTGTAAAAATAACAGAATTTTGGCACATTATTTTCCTTGTGTAGGAGGGTCTACTATGAAAGTTATACATAAACATGAAACATTCCACATAGCTCTTATTTTAAATAGATTACCATTTTTGATGAAAGTTTATATCTTGTGGCTTAGAATTGAAATAAAATCACTTGAAGAAAAGCATTAGTTTGTTCCAACATTTTCACAGACATGTACATTTTCTGAGGCATCCCTCCCATTAGCAACCTCCCTGGATACTTGGATGAAAAACAGAAATAAATCTGTGGTTAAGTTTAGTTTTTATCTTCACAGTTTCTCAAAAGTTTTTTTGGTGTATCCCAATTCTTAAATTCAAATCTTCATTCGTTTTGCCAAATTCTATTTCTTAAAGTTATTACAATCGGAAAT